GAGTCTATCTGTAATTTTGTATTTGTAAATTGACTTAAGTAGGTGGCTATTAGTGGTAGTGACTGCGTATGCACGTCAACTGCCGACACGCTACCAAGGTGCAAATAAACTATTTACCATTAGTTAACAAAGCTGGGAAATTGTGTGAACGATAGCAAGATAACTGCGAGACAAATGAGCAGTGCCTGAAGGATGCCGTAGAAGATCCATGATATCTCTGGGGCGGATGTTTTACAAAAGAAGAAAGCAATGACAGCGCCTCTACAATCGAAGCCGGTGGTTCAGATATTTTCTTTGTCCTCAGCTACAGATAGTTAGTGTGTCCGGCCTTTATTTGGTGCCGCTGACCTAACCTAATGTTTGGCTTCATACAACCCATTCAGACAGTGGTGGTTCTCACACAATTTATTCGGATTCCGTCACTGTAGGAATGAGTGTCGTAGGGTCTTCAGGTTTTCATCCACAGGTCGTTACGCGTGATAATAAAATTTCCGACATCAGTCACGCCGCCATATCAGGTATAACCTCAGAGAACCAGTCTTTCAATTTTGACGGTTTTCTTTGTTGCTTCGAATGTGTGTACTTGTGGTTTGGCGATCGCGGTAGCTTAAGAGTGTTGGGTTACATGGCTCTGCCTTTGTCTGCATTCACGAGCACACTGCAGAGCCTACCGAGCACGAAATCTCCATTTCTGCTTCACTTGCACCGCTGAAAGTGATTTGTATGTCGTGGACATCTTGCTGATTTCCTTTCGCTGACGCGACGTGTGCCCCTGGGGACTGACTGTTGGATCATCAACAAACTGACATCGTTTTACGAGTAATAATTTACAAACAGATAGAAGGAATACTGTCTAAGGCGAAGCATGTTGCCTTCGCACTTACCAAAAGACAAGACAGAAAGTTAACCAGTTGTGAGTCGTAACCTTAACAAGTCACATCTTGTAATTGACAACAATTGACTAGGAGTGAGCATGACAAATGTTGGAGCTATAATGCCGCCTGGAGACAAGTGTCCGGCAACGGTTGCCCGAAGGTCGCTGCCGTCGCGGACCGAGGTCCTACCGGAGAGGATGCTGCTTTATTTAGTCAAGGTGCTTCCAGCCCTTCCCTACTGGATTTCTGTTGCGGTTGACACGCAGTGTAACGACCTAAGAGACTGGATGATTGTTTTAGTACACCAAGGCCGGCACTTTTGGCGCGAACCCAGGATGAGGTGATGTGATCAAGTGTCTACGAAGATTCCGCTGCCCGGCTTCCTTCACAACCGCTGACTCCCCAAGCGAAACGGTTCATCGTCGTATTCGTGTCGTTTCTCTCCTCGCTCTATGCC